TGAAGGCTTCCCTGAGGAAGTAAAAATGGAGCTGGGATCTAGTACAACGACTAGCAATATTATGTCACTCTCCTGCTCAACAAACATCAGTTGTTCCTCAATGCCCACGGTTTTGCCCCATATTCCAGGCCAGGCAGGCTATCTGCTTGTACTCACTTTCGCTCCAGTATCCATGCCTTCATTCACCACTTCCACCCACTTAGGCTGCCGCTGGCTCTCCTGTATATCCTCCATCTACTTAAAATTCAAGGCTGAGCATAAATTGATCCTCCCTAAACAATATTTTTGAACATATATTTAAATGAAGAGCACCATGCTAGACCCTCCTTGAATTGGAAAGCATAATGAGGCATGGTCCTGAATGCCAGACGCAGAGTGGGGAGCAGAGGGTATCCTCAAATAAGAAGAGGAATAGAAGGTTCCTTTGCTGAAGGTCAAGTTCATGGGGCAGCTGGTAAGTCCTACAGGGACGTTAGATGCACAGAAAGCTCCACTTCATGCAATGCTTCATGATCTTTCCGTATTCTTCCCTAGGCTGCAAATCACGAGCTGGTTCCAAAAGGTTTCGGTCAAACTGACGTTTTTCTGGGAAGGACAGTTGGAGCCAGGACCTGCCCAGCCACAGCCCACGCTGCCAGGCAACCTGGCCAGGCTGGCACCGGAGGCTTCTTTAGAAGAAGTAGGGAACAGCACAGAAGTCTCCTGCCCTCCAGCCCAGGATTCCCTGGCCCGGGGCCCAGAGCCTGGCTTCCTCTGGCCTGCGGCAGGGGGCGGGGTCAGGAGGGCGGGGCCAGCGGGGGCGCCTCTGCTTCCTCAACCCTCAGAATGTATTAGCTTTGGCCCCGTGACTCCAGCTTTGGACCCACGCACCTGCCCACTGCTGCGATAGGGGTCTGAATCTTTGCAGATGTTGTGAGGGCAGAAGCAGCTTGGATCTAGAGGTGGGGGAAGGCCTGGCTCCCGGAGTCCCCCTGCCCATCTTCCCTAGTGCCCACTCCACCTGGAAGCCAGAGGGCTTTTTCTCAGTACCCATTAAAGCTTCATTTGCTCTCAGCACTTCAACACCATCAGAATCCTTCCCCACCCCACACTCCCACCCACCTCACTTCACTTTCCATCCTCAACAGTGGACTATCCCCAGGACCTTGTACAAAACTAGACCCTAAGCCTGGAACATTGTTCCCACCCTTCTTCACCAAACAAATGGCAATTTTTATTTTTATTTTTTCAGGCTTAGACATCTACTCAGGTGTGGGGCGCGGTTCAGTGTTTTGGCCAGGTTCAAACCTCGGACTAATGAAAGGACAGGGTCCTCTCATTGCCATGTGCAAGTCCCAGCTGGAGGGCAGAGCCCTCCCTGCACAATTATGGCCAACGGCTGTGGTTGTAAGCTTGAACCTATGGTCCAAACACGTAGCCCCACGTGCCTTGTGCTAGAGTTCAGGTGCATGTAGTTGAGTAGGGTTGGCGCTCACGAGAATGCTGTAAACAACGTGATCACGCCCCTACTTTGCCTCGTGGCATCTGCTATAAAATAAAGACACGGCTTGTGGGCGCTGGCGCTGTCTCCTCATCAGGGAGCAGCGTCCCACCGAGACCCAGCTTTCATTCTCTTGTCTGTCTTTCCTTAATCCTTTCACCCCCCCTACTCGGGATCACCCTTGGTTGTGCTGGCGTGGCACACTCAGGAAAGCTTGACTTGACCCCTCCCATCCTGCTATGGGCTCCAGGGCTTGGCCCACCACAGCTCTCATATTTTTACATCATAGTCACCTGACTGCCTGTCTATTCTTGTCTTCCTTTTCCTTTTCCTCTCCTTCCCTCCCCCCAAGCCTGTGCTGTGGCTGCAGCATCACCGGGTGTCTGGCCCAGGCATGGTGCTGGGTAAGATCATAAACACCTTGCCTGGTGGTCCTGTATACCTCTGCCTGGATTGGGGAGACTCCCGCAGCTGCTTCATGTCTTAGAGCAGCGGGTCTCAAACTACAACTGGCATCCGAATCACCTGGTGGTGGTGGGGGGGGGGGCAGTGCTTTTAAAATACAGATGGCTAGGCCTCACCCCCAGAGTTTCTGCTTCAGTAGGTCTGGAGTAGGGCCTGAGTTTGCATTTCTAAGGAGTCCCCAGGTGTGGCTGCTGCTGCCAGCCCAGGAACCAACTTTAAGAATCACTTTTCGCAAGCGTGTCAAACCCACCGGCTGCGAGTTTGACATGCTTGAGAGCATCAGTTTCCCCATGGCTAGAATAGGATAACTGCTGTTCCTACCTAGGTTTTGTGAGAATCCAATGAGACAATGCAAATGAAGAACTTAGCATTGTGCCCGGACCCAAGAAAGTGTCTGCAATTGCTAACGGGAGAGGGCAGGAGACATGCCAAGCCGGGAAAACATGAGCAAGAGCAGAGGCAGGAACGGGCCCAAGCAGGGCAGTGGGGCTGACAGAAGGGCCAAGGCCAAGCACAGAGGCCAGAGAGTCCAAGTTGCACGATGGGAGCAGGTGGAAACTGAATGTGGCAACACTGGGCAGGAGGCTGTTGCCGGCAGCAAATTCCACATGCTGGGTTCTCCTTGGCTGTTTGGCCAGGCACTGGGTTGCCAGGTTTAGCAAATAAAAATAAAGTCTGTCTTTAAATTTGAATTTCAGATAAACAACACATAATTTTAGTATCAGTGCGCCCCAAATATTGCATGGGACACACACTAAAAATAAAACACCTTATGTTATTGATCAGAAATTCAAACTTAATGAGGCATCCTTTATTTTTATTTGCTAAATCTGACAACTCTAGCCAGATACCAACTGCTTACCACCCAAACCCCGAGTCTGCATGCTGGAGGGAGAAGGTCCCAGATCCCTCTGCCTCCCTTCCCACCTTCACCAAGGCCATCAGGAGTGGTCCGAGCGGCAGGCCTGGGTGAGGGGGTCCTTTCACCTCATGCTGGCTCACCCAGCAATGAATCCTTGGGTCTGACTTAATGAAGCACAGACCACCACCTAGTTCCATAGAGAAGGAAGTGCCACCTACAGTTCTGAGTTAATTAAGAAACCAACAGTTGCCAGTAGCAGGGGCCCATCCGGTGAGTGTACTCTGAGAGAGGAGAAAATAGCCTCTATCCGTCACCCCAGAAAGGGGCAAACACAAGCACCCATGGCAGAGTGAGCCCGGCCTCATTCAGTTCACGTGGGCATTATTTTCCCAGAGGCCGCCTCTGTCTCCCCTGCCCCATAATCACCAAATTTCTGATTTATAGTTCCAGAAACAAGCCTGTCAGAAACACAATTTCTGCAACAAACTTTATATCAACTCCCTCCACCCAATCTAACAAGAAACAATGAAGATAATTTGCGTTGCATCTTAAAAAAAAATATGCCATAAACATTATTGAATGCTTAGTGTGTGCCCTGTGCTGTGTTTAGCATTTTATTTGGCCCAGTGGTTCTCAGCCTTGGCTACACATTACAATCACCTGGAGAGGTGTTTTGTTTTGGTTTTGTTTTATTTGTTTTTTAATTCCAATACCCCAGACATTGGTTCTTGCACTGGACACAGTGATTCCAATGGGCAGTCACTGACTTTGTTTATTCTGTTTAATCCTCACCATACAATCCTGAAAGGGAGGTTTTATCTCCATTTTGCAGATGAGAAAACTGAGGCTCGAAGAGGAGTAACTATGCATCTGCAGCCACAACCTCTGACCTCTCCTTCCTTCCTATTCTCACCGCAGGGATTACGATGTTTCCAGTATTTCACTGTTATATATAATAGTTATAGCTAACGCTTCCACAGAAAGGTGTGTGGCATGGCACTGCCCTCTGGCCACTTTGAGATAGCTCTGCTCCCAACAAGGCTCTTCTTAAATACCAGCCAGACGCTGCCTGGGTTCAGAACTGACACCAAATGACTTTTGCTAGAGCAAAGACAACGGAGGTTCCAGCCAGGTCCTGTCCTCTTGGGTCACAGAACCTCGTAGCCAGGTCTCACTCCCCACCGCCCAGCACTTCTGAGTCTGGCTCTTTGCCATTGTGCCCCACCCACCCTTCCAAGCCTTTCCTCAGTGCCCAGCCCCTTAAACAGCAAATTCCCTCACCTCCTGAGCCTTCTGAGCCATCTTCTTTGCAGGGCCCACATCCTGATAGGCTGTCCGAGAGGTCTTTTGATACAGGACAGACCGCGAACCACAGGTCCGAAAGGCGCAAGCCTCGCCGGCGGCTCGCGGACCGACGGATCTTTTCAGCAGTGCGCGCACCTGGGCTCACCTGTCCCAGTGGGTGGGGCTTTCCGGCCTGGAGAGGATACTTAGCTGGGCGAGAAGGCTGGTCATCGCTTGCCCTCTGCTGGCCAGTAGCGGTATTGAGCCTGCTGCTGCTCCACAGCGCGTCCAGTAGGTGGAATGAAGGGGGGTGGGCATTCATTGAGCTCCTGTTGTATGCCCGGCACTGAACTGGGTGCTGGGGTGTAAGGATAAACGCGGAGTTCCAATTCAAAGGAAGAGGCAGACAATCATCATAGTCATTCGAACAACTATGAAATTACAACTGTGGGCTGTGTGAGCATATGACAGATATGAGGGTCCTTCCTGTTCAGTCTGGGGTGGTAGAGGGGTCAGGGGAAACTGCTCCAAGGAGGTGACGTTTGAACACCAGGTACCTCATAAAGCCATTTCGTTTAGTGTCGAAAATCCTGCAAGGTGGCTCTCCCCTTGGACAAAGCAGAAAAGGGGCTCAGATTGGGGAAAACTTACCCAAAGGCACACAGCGAGCTGGCAGCAAAGCCAGGAGGATTTGAAGGGCCCCGCCTCGCCGCGGTTCCTGGAAGCGAGGCAGGTGGCCAGCCACCCGCACAATGCTTCCCGCAACTCCAGGGCGTGGGGCGGGGCAGGGGTGGAGCCCGAGGTCTGACCCCGCCCATACGCTATAAGTGCAAGGGCGGCCCTGGGCGTGGGGACTGGGCGTGGGGACTGGGCGGAGGTGGGGTCTTTGGGGGGCGGGGGTGGAGTTGGAGCCCGCCCTGGGCTCGTGGAAGGGGCGGAGCCGGGATCTCTCCCGGTCCTAGAGGAGGCGGAAGTGCCAAGCGAGTGCGGGGCCAAGGACACTTACCCGCTGACCCTGTGCACTCAGGTAGAGGCGGCGGCTCCGGGTCCCGGTGGTCCAGTGGGCAGCTCCAGAGGTAGGGCCCAACCCGGGCCTGCGAAGAGGTACCCCGCGCCCCGTCCCGCCTTGCCCCGCCCATCTGTCCTGCCATTCGAACCTCATTCCTTCCTGTTCTCGGGCCTGAGTCGGTCTCTAGCCAGAAGGGAACTCTCGAGGGCTGAGGAACTCACTTCGTCCTTGTTTCCGGCCCAGCGGGGGTGGGGGGGCCCTGGACATCCAGAACTTGGGATCAGGAGATAATGAGATGCAAAAACCTTTCGGGGTAGGCTGGCCCAGCGTCATCCCAGGCCCACTGACCTTGGGAGGTAACCCACCCATTCTGGTACTCAGTAGTCTCAGTGGCAAAGCAGGGGTGACCTTGCCCGGCCGGCCCTGAGGCTGGCCAGGTGGGGAGGGTAGCTGTGAAGGCGGCTGGGAACCTGGGGTTGGGCTTTTCCCTTCCCCTTATGCCCTTGCTCCCTCTGTTCCTAGATAGAGAACCCTGCCCCTACCTAGCCCCAAATCAGCTGCAGTTACTACCTAGCCCCAAATCTGGGAGCCCCAAAAGCTGAAAGCTCCCACCCAGGGCAGCTTGCTCCAGCTTCCTCGTGGTGGACTTGTGTATTGGCTTGGGAGACCTGAGTGTGTTCCCAGAGCGGTCTCAGGCTTGGGCACCCTGTAAGGCCTGCCTGGATCCCACCTGCTCAGTTTGCAAACAGTGGGGTCACCATATCATGCAGGACCTTGAATGCTGAGTTCAGAAGTCTAAACTCTCACCTGTGAGCAGGGACAGTGCATTGGAGTCTGACCTGTAGTGTCGTCAGGACCAGCCTGGGTGAATGGGGCTGTCACAACGCCAGGAAAGATGCTGGTGCTGATAGGTGACATGTATGGGCATTTATTGCCTGCTAGTACTTTACTTGAATTATGTCATTAATTGCTCTTGCATCCCTTATGTTTTCCCCATTCCAGAGGCTGAAACAGGCTTGGAGAGGTGAAGAGACTTGCCCAAGGTCACAGCTAGTGTCAGGGAGGGGGGATTGGAACCCAGACAATTTGGTGCCTTCCCCACAGTGTCCTGTTGCCATCTAGGATCTAGGCATCCGGTAATAAAGCCTTGACCTAGTTCAGCAGGAGGAGAAAGGAGGGACCAGATGAGCAGAAAATTGGGGAATGGGATTCAGAGGTTTTTTGGGGGTACCCATGAGTCCTGAGAGAAATTCAGCTGGCCTCGTTTGGGGAGGGTGAAGTATTTAATTTTAGATGTTAGTTCGGGGTGAAGGGTGACATAGGGGAGCCAAACAGAGCTTCCCTCCATCTGGGAAAGACTCAAGGCTGGATCCTGGGGAGAGGAGATGCCTTCAGAGATGGGTGCAGGTAGGGGAAGGCAGCCAGAGCCTGGCTCACAGGAATCCCTCCAAATGCTGAGCAGACAGATGTGGGGGCCTCCATTCGTGGGTGGGAGAACAGACTGAGGAATGAATTCTAGGCTGAGAAGGGTTTGAGAAATTGAGGCCTTGTTTCATAGAAGGGGAAAATGAGGCCAGCAAAGTTCTTGTCTAAGGACATTGCGTGGGTGGATCACCCAGGACAATCCCCTGAGTGACATCTCTGCTGTTCAGCTCTTTCTACTACCTTCAGTGGCTCTCAACCACGGCCGATTTTGATAATGTTTAGAGACAATTTGATTGTCACAACTGGAGGAGGTGCTACTATTGGTATCTAGTGGGTAGAGACCAGGGATGCTGCTAACCATCCTGCAGTTCCCCCACAGCAAAGAATTATCCAGATTCAATTATCAATGATTCCAAAGGTGAGAAACCCTGTACTTGGTCCAGCTCACGTTTCACCCCTCCCCCCAGCCTCAAGCTCCTTTGCCCTCAGCAGGGCAGATAGCTCAGGCCTGGGCCTCCAGCTGGGCAGACCTTTGCTCCCAGCCCTGGTCTGCCCCTCCCATGGTTGTTCCTTTATTTCTGGTGGCTTCTAGTGTCCTCTCTGCTTTTCCTGGGCACAGTGGTCTAGAGTCCTGCCCACCACATGTCTGCCTTGTCAGTTTGTCTGTCTCCCCAGACCTATGTTCAGTTTGGTGTTAGGTGGGGAGACACCAAAGTGGAAATTTTCACTTTGTTGCATTGTTGATAAAATATTTATTACACTTGAGTGGCATGCTCAGGGTCCAAAGATCTTCATTTTATCTCAATTTTCACTTTAGCAATTGAAATTGTACCTTTTGTTTGTGAAGCTCTACACTTCTCACAAGCTCCCAGGTGACGCTGGTGCTGCTGGGGATGGAGCACACTTTGAGTGGCAAGGTATTACAGGGCTGCACAGAGGGGGCTGTGGGCCGGGCTGCTCTCTCCACAGACAACTGTGGACCGAGGAGTGGAAGGAACCATGGCATGGAGTCAGGAAACCAGGATATGAGTCATCACCCCTTCGCCCCATCTATGGCCTCTTAGCTTAATAGAGTTTGGATAAATCACTTAACTTCTTTGAAGGCTGGTCTTGCATGGCAGGCGGTCCTCTAGGAATTCTGATTCAGGGTCTGAGAGAGGAAGTGCCCTGTGGAAGCCGATGGCCTGTGTCCTGGCAGCCAGAGGGCAGTGGGCCACTGGCCTGGCCAGCGGGGACGGCAATGAGCTGAAGTTGGCAGAGCGGCACCATGCCAGCGTGGAGGCGGCTCTCATTGTGGCTCTGGTTTTTCTCTTTGGTGGCCACGACCTCCTGCTTCTAGCTCACCGAGCTGTGCCTGGCGTGGGAAAGCTGGAGGGACAGGTCTGGCCGGGGAAGGAGGAGAGCTTTGGTGCCACGGGCCAGTCCTGGGCCTGAATAGTGGCCTGAGGACTGGGGGTCGGGCCTGAGAACGATGGCCTAGAGACACCGGGGTCAGCTGTGGGCCGTAGATGGACTTCTCATCCTCCTAAGGAAACTGGGAAGGACTTGTAGTTGGAGCCTTAATCTGGGAGCTCCCTCCACCCACAGCTATAAGGAGATGAACCCAGGAAGAGAGCTGGGCAGAGCCTTAGGCACCTGCGGTGCTCCCACCCCAGGTACCTCACAAATCAGCCGCGATGAGCCAGCAAGGCCCCTTCCTATTCCTAGGACCAGGAGGCAGCAAGACAGCAGAACCCATTTCTCAGGTGGAAAAATTGAGACTCCTGTCTCCTTATTTACTGGGAGGATATCAGCCTGTAGGGCCGTTGCCTGTTACCCACAGGGGCCAGGGCCTGAAATGTCCTGAGGCTGACCCCATGGACCCCCGGGAGGGGTGCCTGCCTCCTCCTATTCCCACAGTTGGGCCACCTAGGGTTCTGGGGCTCAAATCTCCGCTCCTCTCCTTATTAGTTGTGAGATCCCGGGCAATTCACTCCGCCTCTCAGCCTCAGCTGGCTTGTCTGTAAACAGGAATAATGACACCCACTCGGCCAAGCTTGTAGTTGTTGTGAAGAGGAAATGCGCCCTGTCACCGAGCACTGTGGTCATTATCATTACTCATGGCATTTAGAGGCTCAGAGAACCCCAGGTCGCCTTACCCTGCGCCCTCATTTCACAGATGTGGGCATTGGCACCTGGAGAAGGGAGGCACCTGTCCAGGAGCCTCATGGCTGCTCAGTAGGTGAGCCAGAGCTAGAACCCACGTCTGCTGGCATCCCTCCCAGCCTGTGACTTCGAAGGCGCGACACACTGTAAGCCAGGGCACCCGGGGGGGGGGGGGGGGGGGTCAAGATGCAAAGTCTCCCCACGGAGGGGCCGACACCAGGCCTTGGTCCCAGCACTGCCTCCCTTTGCCAGCCCCAGCCATGAACTACGTGGGCCAGCTGGCGGGGACCGTGTTTGGGACGGTGAAGGAGCTGTACCAGGGCCTGAACCCGGCCACACTGAGTGGTTGCATCGATGTGCTGGTGGTGGAGCAGGTGGACGGCTCCTTCCAGTGCTCGCCCTTCCACGTGCGCTTCGGCAAGCTGGGTGTCCTGCGGTCCCGGGAGAAGGTGGTGAGTGCTGGCCGCTGCCGAGGGCCACGGCTGGGTGGGCTTTGAGGCGGGGGCCGCCACCGCAGTCCCAGGAGAGCACCCAGGCCTCCCTGAGGTGGGGAGCTGCCCTCTGAACAGGCTTCCTGCCTTCTGTATTTCCTTTGGTGGTTTTAGGTTAGTTTGGGGCTTTGGTCTAAGGGGTTCCTGTTTTCCCCTAAAAGCAGCGTAGTGGAGCCATCAGACCTGAAGCTGAGTAACCCTTCAGCGTACTCAGACCTTCCCCGTGTGTTCTCGTAAGTGGCTTCCCCTGTGCAAGTGGTGTCTTCTGCCTGGTGATTCGATAGGAGGTGATAACACCAACCCCGGGCCAGGCCTGGGGGTGACCCTCAGAGGTTCGTTCCTCTCCCTTAGGAAACCTGCACTGTTGTCACTGGGCTCTGGTGTGTGAAAGGGGGTGTGGTGGGCCCAGACCCCTTCGCACGACACTGAACTGTCCAGTCACAGCGTAACCTTGTGGGAGATAGAATAGTGCCTTGTGGTTAAGAACTAGGCTCTGGGTTCACAGCCTCCTTTGGCTGCTTCCCAGAGAATTACTGAGCCCCTCCCAGCCTGTTTCCTCATCTGTAAAGTGGGAATAATGACCGGAGTGGCTGCAAGGGGAGGCTGTGAAGATGAAACAAGATCGTCTAGAATAAAACGTGCCTAGGAAGTGTCTAGGAAGCGGTCATTCTTACCATTGTTGGTCGAGCACTGCCCTGGGGCTGGGGACTCAACAGTGACAAGATGAATCATGTCTTTGTTCTCATGGGCTGTGGGAGAGAGAGGAACACAGAAACCAAAGCATAAACAAGGATATGGAGACCATGATACATGCATCAAAGCTTTGAGAAGGGGGAAGTGTGTTGGGGGAGGGGCATGGAGGCTCAGCCAGCCTCTCCGAGGAGGCAGCGACCCTCAGAGAGGGGAGCAGCCGGGGACACTAAGGGCTGGGGAGACAGTTCCAGCAAATGCAGGGCTTGGGGAGGGGAGGCAGCAGGGAGCCTGTCACTGGGACCCGCTGGGAGGACGGCGCCCCAGTGGACTGGAGCGTGGGAGTGAGAGCAGACGGCGGGGATCATGCGCCCCACGGCCCATCATGCCCTGCTACAGGTGGACATCGAGATCAATGGGGAGCCCGTGGACTTGCACATGAAGCTGGGGGACAGCGGGGAGGCCTTCTTTGTCCAGGAGCTGGAGAGTGATGAGGTAAGTACCTCTGTCTTTGACAGCACCTGCCCCTGCCCTGCACTAGTGCCCCCTCTGGGCGGGGCCTTGGGGTTTGTCACTGTCAGCAAGGGTCTGATGCAGGGGATAGATAGGTTAGTGCTGGCACTCACGATCTGCTACTGGAGCCTGGGTAGGATTTGGGGGTGGGGGAGGGGACGAGGGCTGACTTACTCGCCAGGGAAAGTTGGGGAAGGTTTCTCAGAAGAGGACACTTGAGCTGGTCCCTGAAGGGTGAAAAGGAGGGAGCTGAGGCGTGGCTGGGGCTGAAGAGCATGAGGTGGCTTGTTCTGGATCTGGGGCCGGCTCAGTGCAGCTGGAACATGGAAGTGCGAGGGAGGAGGAAGAAGAGAGGGGTGTTTGCAGAGGGAGGCAGGCCCAGCACGAGCCAGCAGAGGTGTTTAAATAGTTTGAGCTTGACAAACTTTAACTGAGCCCTGTGCCAGACACTGCAGTGAACTCAGGTGAGGGGTGACCCCTACTTCAAAGGAGGTTCCCAGACAAGCCTGGGAGACAGACACACAAATAGTGGCTGATGAAACCCTTTAGTCATTACAGTGAAGGGGGTTGGAACCGCGGCTGAGAATAGTTAGGGCAAACTTCCTGGAGGAGGTGACGCCTGGCTAAGTCTTAAAAGGGAAGTAGGCATTTACTGGGACAGGTGTGGGCAGAGACGATGAGAGGCTGATGCCCAGGTCTGTCCAGACAGTGTGGTCCACACCCTGGGCTGTCAGGGATGCAGGCAGCCCCTGGGGTTAGGGCTGCTTTACCTCTGAGGGAGCTCAGAGGCCAGCAGCAGTTACAAGGCCAGGCTGCTGCCACCTCTGTCCAGCCTCCATGCCTGTTTTCCTGACCCCAGATGAGCTCACTGCAGGGCCTGAGACACTGGCAGGGCTCAGGATGCCCGGTGACCAGAGCGGTCCCCCTGAGCTGTAGCCCCTGATCTTCTCCGCAGGAACACGTGCCCCCCCGCCTGTGCACGTCACCCTTACCTTGGGGAGGCCTGTCTGGGTTCCCCTCGGACTCCCAGCTGGGTACAGCCAGCGAATCCGAGCCCATCATCATGGGTGTGGCCTCCACGGGAAGGAAGAAGAGGCTTCGTAGGAGGAAACCCAGGTGGAAGGAGGACACGGTGGCTGACGATTCTAGTTCTGAGGAGCTGGAGGCAGGTGCTGAGAGTGAGCTGTCCCTGCTGGAGAAGCCGAGGCTGGAGACCACAGGATGTGTGGAGACCAGGTGGGGGCCAAGGGTGTGAGGATGCCAACCTGGGTTCAAGCACTGTTTCCTCTGCTGGTGCGGTGTGACCCTAGGCGAGGGCCTTGACCTCTCTGGGCTTTAGTTGCTTCACCTCCCCAAGCCCCTGACGTCCAGGCTCCCATGCCCTGTGCTGTCAGTGACCATTTATTTCCCTGTGGCCCCTCAGCAATATCCAGTTGGAAGAGGAGTCCTCGTCACTGCCTACAGACACCTACCCCTACTCCGATGGCGAGTGGCCCTCCCAGACCAGGTGAGAGTCCAGGTGGGCCGCAGCGGGGGACTCAACACCAAGGTGGTTTCCCTTTACATTTTTCTAATAAATAATGACTTAGAATACATTTAATGTGTTTACCAGCCACTTGTATATCTCCTTGGTAAAATGTTTAAGTTGTTTGTCCATTTAAGAAAATTGTGGTAACATAACATAAAATTTACCATTTTAGTTAAAGTGCACAATTCAATGGCATCTAATAAATTCGTGATGTTGTGCCACCATCGAAGACAATCCCTATCTAGTTCCAGAATTTTTTCATCACTCCAAATGGGAATCCTATACCCATTAAGCCAGGGGTCCTCAAACTAGGCCCGCGGGCCACATGCAAATACAAATATTGTATTTGTTCCCGTTTTGTTTTTTTACTTCAAAATAAGATATGTGCAGTGTGCATAGGAATTTGTTCATAGTTGTGTTTTTTTTAAACTATAGTCCGGCCCTCCAACGGTCTGAGGGACAGTGAACTGGCCCCCTGTTTAAAAAGTTCGAGAACCCCTGCATTAAGCAGTCACAAACTTGCACCCCCCCCCTTTTTTTTACTGGACTGCCTTCTTATTATTGATTTGTTGGGAGTTCTTTATATATTAATATATCCTTTATATATTCTGGGGATGCAACACAAGCATAAATATGTTTTGCAAATATTTTCCCCAGGCTTGGGCGGGGGGGTGGGGGGAGGGCGGTGCGTGGCAGGCTGGTGTGGGCGTCTCTGAATTCTTGTTTCCTGCAGCCTTTCGTCGGAAGGGCTAACATCCCCTAAGAGTGACTCGGAGCTGGAGGTGAAGACCCCGGAGCCCAGCCCCCTGAGAGCTGAGTCGCACATGCAGTGGGCCTGGGGGAGGCTGCCTAAGGTGAGTTCCTCTGTGCCATCCCCCATCCCTGCCTTTCGGGGCTCCATGGCCCTGAGGATGAGGACTGGAGTGACTGAGACTGGGGCCACCTTCCCAAGGCCTTGTGGGGTGTGGGAGGCAGCCCCTGCATCGGCCCTGCCCACATCCTTCCCATTTGTTTGACTGAAGGTGGCCAAAGCTGAGAGGCCCATGTCCTCGATGGTCCCCGATGGCAGCACTGGAGCAGCCTCAGCTCAGGGAGACCCTAGCACCCCTGACCTTCGGCCTGACACGGAGGTGCCCACTCTGATGGGTCCCCCTCTCCCTGCCCCCGAGAGAGAAAAAACCAAGACTCAGAGATCCGGGGATGCGGGTCTCTCTCCTGCCTCAAAATCATGGAGCTGGGCCGCTCTGGAGGGTCCGGCTCCCACGGGGCCGCCAGAGGGGTTCTCCAGGAGGAAAGGTGAGTGATGGCTGGACACCCCCCAGTGCTTCCCTGGCCTCACATTACCTCCGGGGTGGACTCTGGGACATCAGGCGTGTTTTGAGCACCTACTGTGTGCCTGGCATTGTGTTTGACACCAGCCCTCATGGGGCAGACAGATAATGCATACAAAAGCCAGGAAGAAAGTTACAGGGATGGTGTGGAATGTTACCGTTCACTGGGTGGGACGGGGCTATCTAGATCATGTGGTCAGGAAGGCCTCTGCAAGTGGGTGATGTTTGCGCTGAGACGTGAACAATGAAGACCTAGGCAAGTGAGGATCAGGGGAAGAGAGTTCTAGGCAGAGGGAATAGCATGTTTCAAGGCCATGAGATAGGAGAGAGGTTTCATGTTTAAGAACGGAGGCAGCTGGTGTGTCTTGAGCGAGGCCGGGGAGAGGGTTGGCAGAGGAGGCCGGGATTTGAGCAGGGCTGGACATTCTCAGCGCATCAGCTGGGATTATTCTGAGTGCACAGGAAGGCACTGAGTAGTCACTGGATACACGTGGCTATTCAAAATTACAACTAAGTAACATTTTTAAAATGCCATTTCTCCATCACACCACATTTTAAGTGTGCTGATGGTCACCTGTGGCTTTTGGCTACTGGACTGGACTTGCTGACATAGGACATTTCTAGCATCGTAGAAAGTCTACCAGACAGTGCTGCTTTAGGTGCTCCAAGAGAAGGGGGCCTCATACTGCTCACACGACTGAGCACGTGCTAGGTCTACAGCAAATGTCATCTCCTCCGCCCTCAGGCTCCCTGAAGAGAAGCCAGCACTTGGGCCCCAGCGACATCTACCTGGATGACTTGTCCTCTCTGGACTCTGAGAATGCAGCCCTTTACTTCCCCAAGAGGTGCCTGGGTTCTGGGTGCTAGTGGCTTGGGATCAGGACTGGTGGGGCCAGGGGTTGGCTGTCAGGGGCTTGAGAGGGGTGAGGCCCTCCTCCCAGCCTCCTTGTATTCATGTCACTGCTAACTCCTTTCCCCACAGTGACTGTGGGCTGGGGCCCAGGAGGTGGAGTGAACCCGGTAGCCAGAAGCCAATGGGGGGCCCCAACCCCGAACAGGAACCAGAACCCGCTCCGGACACAGTGGACACGATAGTGCTGTCTCTCTGTGGAGGACTGGCTGACAGCCGGGACATTTCCCTGGGTATGTCCAACCATGAGCCCTTCTAAGGATTGGCCTTAGCTGGGGAGAGCAGTGAGGACCCCAGAGGGTGGGGCAGTCGAGGGGTGAGGCTGGGCCAGGCTCCCTGCATTCTCTGCCCTGTGGAGCCCACATTCAGCCAGCAAGGATGGGGCATTCCCAAGGCCCCCTGAAACCAAGGCCGGATGCTTAGCTGTGGCTTATTCTGTGAGTCCAGGATGGCCAGTGCCTGGGGTGGGAATAGCAGGTGTGAAACCACAGGAAGGGAGGAGCCCTGTGCGAGGCCTGAGTGGTAGAGTGCGGAGGGACCCGGAGAGACTAGGGCAGTGGGTCATGCGGGATGTATCCGCCTCTCCCCTCACTCTCTGCCTCTGTGCCCAGAGAAGTTCAACAAGCACATAGTCTCCTACCAGGACCTCGTCCAAAACCCTGGCCTCTTGGACGACCCAAACCTGGTGGTGAAAATCAACGAGAAGTAAGTACCAGGGCTGGGCTGCTGGCTGCCACAGGAATCACCCTGCCTCCTTCATGGCCTGCAGCTCCTACACCCTGTTCTGTCCCTCCAGGCACTATAACTGGGCTGTGGCTGCCCCCATGGTCCTCTCCCTCCAAGCCTTTCAGAAGAATTTGCCCAAGGTAATGGTTAGAGCACCACTGGGCCTCCTGGGGAAAGTGGCCATGGCCTCAGGGTAGGGTGCCTTTAGCCAGGAAGTGGAGGGTGGGCAGAGATGGGCCTGGGGCTGGTGGATTGCAAGACCCACTCTGGGAGAGGAGACCCCTGAAGCCTCCTCCCTTCTGTGTGGACAGAGCCACCCCCTTCCCTGGTTTCCTGGCGTAGCTGAATCCCACTGGATTTGGACATTACTTCAAAGGAGCTCAGGACAAACCAGAGGGGGGTAAACATTGGGCAGGGACATGCCTTCAGCAGGAAGTTTTCAGATCTGGGAGATGGAGGTCCCACTCCTCACCTGACCCTGAGAACCTCTGAGGCTGGGCTGCAGGTGTTTGCCCACTCTATCAGCACACATTTGTTATCTACCTACTATGTGCCAGGGACAGTCATGCCCTCAAAGAAAGACAGTTAAAGACTCAGCCAGGTGAACGTAAAATTCAACTGTGAGTATTGGGAAGGAGAGGTCTGGGTTGCTTTGAGAGCCTCAACAGGGAAGTTTGCTGAGCAAGTGCTTCCTGGGCAGAGATGGGAAAGATGAGTAAGCCTTGGCAGGAACAGCATGTATGGATGCTCAGAGGTGGGAAGGAACCCAGCCTCCTTGAGCCTCCACCCTGTCCTGCCCTGCACCTGCCCCTTCTGCCCTTCTGGAAGTGGTCCAGGGCCCTGCCCTGGTCTATTGTTCTCCATTTGATTAGAGTTGCCCAAAGAACATCACTAACCAGACGTAGACAGCTGGTGCCTCCCTTTAGTGATGCTGAGCTGCATCCTCTGGCTGGCTCTGGCGCTGAGCTAGTACCACAGCCTGTGAGAAGGAAGGGGGTCGCTCTCCTGCTTGGCTGTCCTCACCTGGACATACCCACCATTGAGGTCCCTGGGAGACTGCCTCAGCCTGTTCCCAGCTCAAGTGGGCACCCTGGCCGACCCACGCCAAGCCCATGTCCTCCTGGTGTGGGTGTAGCATTCTGTGTTTGTGGGAAGCACAGATCTAATCAGTATTTTCCACAAGCTCACGTTACCCCCACCAGACAGGAATGGTAACGTACAGAGGGTGCATTTATGGGATAGAATCACTGACCTTACGAGTTGCCTGTGTTGGTCTTGGAGGTTGTGGGGAGGACTGGTCCTAGACTGTCCTTCCTGCTGTCACTTGGTGGCTTCATGCAGGGAGTACCAGATCTTGAGAAACTCCCACAGCACTGCCTTCAGCTACTCTGGAGAAGCTGACCCACAAGCTTTAGAAGCCAGGCCGAGGCTGGGCCAGAGGCAGGGGTCAGGGCTGGGATGGAATGGCCCTTGGTCTCCTGTGCTTACTTACACGAAACCCAGGATGGCGGTGGGTATGCTCCCTCGGCCTCCAGTGTTGGCAGCACCTTGCTTGAAGGTCAGCCCCAGGCCCCGGGCTTATGGTGGCCCCAAGGGCAGTCTAAGGTGGATTTGTGTGATGCTGGGGGAAATGCCATGGCCTTTATCTGCCCACAGAGCACCGTGGACAAGCTGGAGAAGGAGAAAATGCCCAGGAAGGGTGGGCGGTGGTGGTTTTCCTGGCGACGCAGGGACTTCCCGGCCGAGGAGGTGGGTGGTCACGGTCCCAGGGTGGGGTCAGCCCAGGCAGGAGCTCACTGTTCACTGGATGGATGTTCTTCCCATAGAGGAGCGCCCCGAGGGAGAAGACCACAGCCAGGGAGGCACGGGGGTGAGTTGCTCTCTTGGCTGGGGTTGGGGAGGATTGCTGTTGGAGGGCCCGAGTGGTGCAGGCACCCCTCCCCCAGCCAGGGTTCTCTGTCACTCTCTAGTCACTCCTACAGCCTTTCTGTCTCCTCAGAAATGCCCCCATTTCACAGATGGGAAAACTGAGACTTAGAGATACACCAAAGGTCCCACCGCCGAAAAATGGCAGAGCTGGAATGGGTGCCTGGACCCCTGGCCCAGACGAGGGGTTACTGTATTAAGGAGAGCAGGGCCTCTCCTCTCCGCCAGGGGCCGGCTGATCTTGCTTCCTTTTTTACCTCTGAACTGAGCCAGAATGCCCAAGGTTCGGGGTGGGGGTATGGGTGGGGGAGGGGGGCAGAGGGTGGCCAAGGTGAATCAACTGAAGCCAAAGCAGGTAAGGTTGGGCGTAAACCCTAAAACACATTTCTGGGTTTTCAGGTAAATATCCCCAGGCAGGTCTGGCCTCCTGGCTGTGGAGAGGCACTGAGGGCTGAGAGCCCGGGCCCTGGCTCCGGCTCTGCCACCACCTTTCTGGGTCTAGCCTGCCGGCCCACATCCTTAGTCTGCTACCACCCCCAAAATGGGTGGCACCTAGAGGGAGCGGTTTCTGGTCCTCTGGGTAGTCTCTGGAGGGGCAGGGACAGGCCCAGGCTCCTTGTGGCCTGGGTGGAGGGATGTCTACTGGGAGTGCAGTGCCTTCGGCTGGCGGAGGTGCCTGAGAGCTGCGCTGCCCACAGGGAGAAGACTGATGTCCTGAGTAGCGAGGATGACGCCCCTGAGAGCCCTGTCATCCTTGAGGCTCCCTCCCTGCCGACCTTGCCTCCAGCCTATTCTCCTGCCTACAAGAAGTCCCTCCGCCTCTCCTCTGATCAGATCGTAAGTGTCCATGTGGGATGGTGGGGGTGGTGATAACTCTGTCACAGAGCCCCACAGTCACTAAAGCCCAGAATCCAAGCCCTTGGCAGCCAAACAGCCTCTGCTTGAATACCTCCAGGGGCAGGGGGCTCACTTCTTTACATGCCAGTCCATTTCTCTGTCAAATGCCCTCACTGGAGAAGCCCTTGCTAGGCCTACAATATCAACCTGCAGTGGGTGGGCTGGCTCCGCTCTAGCCCTTGGAAGCAAATGTTGATGACAGCCCTTCAGATTGGCCCTGGATTCGCGTCTTTGAGCTCAGTAACAGGTGGCTCCTGAAGTAAGGAAGTTTTCTCTCTGAGTATGACTCCATGGCCAGTGAGGTGCCTGGGGGCCTGGCCGGTCTGGTACAGAGCAGCTGCCACCTATGTGGTACCAGGACTCACACCGGCTGTGGCTGAGCTGCCCTGGTCCTTCTCTGTGGACCAAGGAAAGGGCTAGGGTCTCTCTTGGGGGATGTCACAGGTATCCTAGCCTCTGGGGTCACAGGTATCCTAGCCTCAGGCAGGGGCTGCCTGTGATGATCCCCACAGGGCCTTCCTATACATGAGGTGTCTCCCTGTCAAGGGCAATGCCAGCCTTGGGGTTGACCTGAGAAACTTGAGTGGGAACCTCGGGCCAGGCTTTGTCCTCGAGCTTCACCCCAAAGGAACACAGAGGGAGGTTAGGGCTCCTGTGCCCGGCACTGTGCGGGCCCCCCCAGCACTCCCTCACTGCCTCGTCGGGGCCACCGTCTGCCCACGTGTCTCTCTCTGATGGATTCAGGCAGGTTCTCTGAGCTGGGAAGGAGAGGCCTGGGGATTGAAGGCCACAGTTTGGGGTGGCAAAGGGTGGACAGTGCCTGGCTGAGGCTGATCACAGCTCCCCCCACCTTTGCCCGGCCCCAGCGGCAGTTGAACCTGCAAGAAGGTGCCAACGATGTGGTCTTCAGCGTGACAACCCAGTACCAGGGTACCTGCCGCTGCAGGGCCACCATCTACCTGTGGAAGTGGGACGACAAGGTGGTCATCTCGGACATCGATGGTACCATCACCAAGTGAGGCCTGATTGGTGGGGGAGAGGAAGGGCCTGGAAATGTGCCTCCCTCTGTGCTGGGGGCAGGGGCCAGGGAGAGAGGCCCCCCCCAGTGCACTATCTTGGGGCTGGGGCCTGGGGCCCATGCATGGAACATGAGGGCCACATGAGGCTGCCTTGGAGTGACCCCTCCTCTGGGATCTAGGTCGGACGCTCTGGGCCACATTCTGCCCCAGCTGGGGAAAGACTGGACGCACCAGGGCATCACGAGTCTCTACCACAAAATCCACCTGTGAGTGCTGGGGCTGGGGCTGGGGCAGGGGCAGGGGCAGGGCCCCAGGGAGGAAGGGACAGGATAGTTTAGGCCGCCATAGCCTCGGCCCTGGGGAGCCAGGCTTGGGGACCAGCAGGGCCCAGAGAGGAAGAAACTGGGCCGTGTCGCTGGAGTGCTGAGACCCGCCCACCAGTCCTCCTGAGGAAGACTCCTTCCCTGGGGTCTGGGGTCTGGGTCTGACTGCTGGACTTCATGCTCCAGAGGAAGTCTGCGGACTTGCTCACACCCTTGTCCGTCTCGGTCCGCCTGGGCCTCGGGCTCTGTCCATGCTCCCTCTCCTGAGGCCGCCTCTCGGTCTGCCCAGCTGTTCTCCTGGACCGCTCCCTGCAAAGGCCTCTGGGTTGAGAGGCTTCAGCTGAGCTGGCTGAGGCCAAGAGGGCAGGATTGGTGGTGTCACCTGTCCCTGTGCCGGGCCAGGCCCCCTGGTCCCTGATGGCTCTGTGCCACCTGTCTCCACCCCCAGCAACGGGTACAAGTTCCTGTACTGCTCAGCGCGGGCCATTGGCATGGCTGACATCACCAAGGGGTACCTACAGTGGGTGACGGAGCGGGGCTGCGGCCTCCCTAAGGGCCCCATCCTGCTGTCTCCCAGCAGCCTCTTCTCCGCCCTGCACAGGTAACCCCCTGCACGATACGAGCCCACAGCCCTGGAGGGGGGTGCGGGCCCACTGCCAGCCCAGGCCGGCACTGGGCCTGTGTCACCTGACCCTGCTGTCCTCCGATTGCTACCCCTCCCCGGCTGCCTTCCCTGCCCTGGCCCCGGCTCCCCAGGGAGGTGATTGAGAAGAAGCCGGAGGTGTTCAAGATCGCCTGCCTGAGCGACGTCCAGCAGTTGTTTCTGCCCCACGGACAGCCCTTCTATGCCGCCTTTGGGAACAGACCCAATGTGAGTGTCTCCTCCCCGAGGGCTGAGGCACCTCTCCCCACCCGCAGCCCACCAGCCCCTCCTTGTCTCCCACAGGACGTCACTGCCTACCGGCAGGTGGGCCTACCTGAATCTCGGATCTTCACAGTCAACCCCCGGGGAGAGCTCATCCAGGAGCCCATGAAGAACCACAAATCCACGTGAGGCCAAACCCTGCCCTGTGTCCCCAGGCCCTGCCATGTCCCCACACCCCAGCCTCTGCCTGGGCCCCAATTCCAGCTCTGCAGAGGGGCCTCTGGGGTGCAGGTGGCCTGACATGACGGGGGCCATGGTCTGGCAGCGGCTCAGGCCCTCAGTGCCGGCCCTGTTTTGCCCACAGGTACAAGCGGCTCAGCGAGGTGGTTGAGCTCCTCTTCCCGCCCTTGGACCGTGGCCCCAGCACAGACCTGGCCAACCCTGAATACAGCAGCTTCTGCTACTGGCGGGAGCCACTGACCACTGTGGACCTTGACACCCTGGCCTGACACCCCTTCCTCCCTGGCCTGGCCCAGAACTGACTGGGAGTCCCAGGACATCGGGCGTTGGAAGCTGGGTGCCACAGGACCAACCGGACGCGGAGGAGGGGAGATGAGGGCTGGTTGGCAACCTCTCTCCTCCCTATCCTGTCTCTTGCCTCTGCTAGCGGAGCTGCAGGGGGTGGGGCCGCTGTTCCCAGCCTCAGCTGGCCTGTGGCAATTAAATGACTGTCACCTGGGCCCTTGCCGCGTTCTCTGAGCCCTTGATGTCTCTGTCCCCATCACTCTGAGACTTTGCCTCAACTCCTGCTGGGACAGAGAGAAGAGGGAGGCCCCACTGAGGCTTGAGAGCTGTAGGCGCAGGGAAGGTTGGCGGCAGCAGTGGGGCACAGATTAGCATCTGGGAGGAACACAATGTCCCCCCACCCCTTCAGGGAGCCTCTGAGGCCAGACCCTTACATAGCCCTGGCCCGTTCCCACAGCTCTGGGGCCAGACACCTCAGCATGTCCCCTGAGGATGCAGCCCCAAATCCTGCCAAGCAGGTGGGGTTGGCCTGCCGCCCTCCCCAAGTTCAGTGCCCACACAGCTGCTGAGCAAGCTCTTGCCCAAGGAGCTGTGGGAAGCAGGACTGACACCCGCTGCAGTCATCCCTCCCACTGTCTTTGGGGAAGAAAGTACCTTTAGTTTAGAAAGGCTAAAAGCTTTAATCCAGGCCCACCCTCCCCCAACAGCACCAAGTGGAGGGCAGAATTCCCAATGTCGAGAAGCCGGAAGGCAGGGCTACTGGAACCTGCAAAACAGCACAGGAGGGCCCCTGCTGCCGTGGGGAAACTGAGGCCAGGCGCCTCAGCAGACAGGCATCAGGGTCTCTGGGAACTGTGCAGGCCAGATGAACGCTTGTATTTTCAGATTGTTCTCGGTCATGTTCTACCTGAATTCCTCATGACTTCATGAGCATCCAGGCGGGGCTGGGTTTGCAAGGATTCTGGAAACTAGGGCTGGAGCCCTCTCCCTCCAGCCATGGCCTTCTGCCCAGGGCTTGGCCTCATTCAGGCCATGACATACATGAGAGTGGCCCTAAAGATTTCCCCACACACACGGAAAGGAGAGGACTACGTGGGGCCCAGAGTGCCTGAAAACATCTTTGGGGAAGAGAAGGAAGCGCATAAATTGCACGGGATCCCCAAACAGACCACCTGGGCCCAATCCTGTCCTCTGGGAAGCGACAGCTCCCTAAGCCCTCACCTGTGGGTGGGTCAAAAGGAATAAAGAGAACTCGTGCCTGAGTCTGTGCTTCTGTTCTGCCTGGAAGGACCTGTGGTGGTGGAAGCCTCTGGTCCTTGGTTCAGAAATAGCATCTGTGAAGCTGCCAGGTGTGAGGACAGTGCCAATGGGCAGCACCTTCCTGCAGATGACAGGGGAGAGAAGCTAAGGGGACACAGGAACCAGGAGCCTCCATGGCCTCGGGCCGACTGCCCGTGGGCAAAGGGAGATGTGGACAGGCCACTGTCTGAGAATGGACCTGCAGTCTTTGCCCAGATGCCAACTCATGTCTGCAGAAGGGCAAGTGGCAAACTGGATTGTGAGGTCTCCTAGGTGCACCCTTGCCTGCAGGCATGTTGTACTCGCCTTGACCACTATCCTGAACTGTCCAGTTGGTGCGGCAGTGAGCATGGGTGTTGATGTCTGAGACATTCACGTGGAGCTGGACCAAGACTGTTCCTTCAGTAGCCTCTGCAATGGCCAAGGGAGGCTGGGAAGCATGGTCTGGGCTCTGGGGTGATGTCCCCAGGGTTGGTAGGATCTGGGTGTTGGGTCCTGTCCAGCCTGCCTAGTTGGCCCGCCCTGGCCGCCCCTGCTCAGCCAGCTGGGCTTGGCAATCTAGCAGGTCATCCCGGAGGCGGGCAATATCCTGTGCGTGCTGGGCCAGCGTGCGATTCAGCTGATCCACATGGCCCCAGAGGCCCTCCCTGGGCCTGAGTGAATCAGTGGGCAAGCTGTTCAGGTCTGCAGCAATTGGGCCCAGCTTCCCGCACACACCCTCCACTTGTGCCACCCTCTGATCGAAATGGCCCACTGCCAGCTGGAGTTCCTGGGCTGTGTCCTGGCAGCGGCTCAGGCCGCCAGCCACATCGGCCACACCGGCCTTGAGTTGCTCCAGCTCCCCCCGCAGGCTCAGGACCTGCCTGTGGCCAGCTCGAAGCCGTGAGCCTTGGCTGCTGACCTGCTCCTGGATGGCGTGGACCTCGGCCTCCACCTTGCGTTCCCGCTCATCCAGGGAGGTGTTGGTGGCTAAGAAGGCATCAGAGTACTGGCTGACGGAGTCGCTGAGGCCTGTGAGTGACTTGCTCACGGAGTTCAGATTGACCTTGAGCAGGGTGATCTCACCCTGGAGTGAGCTGCCCGTTGCTTCTGCCAGCTGCCCCTGGACCTCGGCCACAGTGCCATTGAGCTGCTGGAGTAAGGTTGTGTGGCTGGCCACCTGGCGGAGAAGGACCTCAATCTGGCTCTGCCAGGCCTTCACCTCTGCCACGAGGTTGTTCAGAGCAGCTGAGGTGGTGCTGGGGGTACATGAGGTCTCCAGCGAAACCAGCCGTTGTTCCAGCACAGCGAGTTCTGTCTGCACCAGGGGCCCTGCCGGCCTGCCTGGTGGGGTACTGTCACGGCTTAGCTCCCCAGCCAGTGTCAGCAGGCGCTCCTCCAGGCTGTGCACACGCTCTTCCAGCAGGGTCCTGAAACCGCCCCCGCCCCCGCCCCCCTCCTTCACCCCCTGACAGCAGCCCCTCCCTCCACTCTCTGTCCCATTGAGGGTCTCCAGGCCCTCAAGAAATCCATCCACACCCCCCTCGAGCATGGCAGCAGAGAGCCGCGTGAGCTCATCCCTGGTGCTGGGGCCATGGCCCCTTTGGACCTCGGTGACGGCTTGTAGGTTGCTCTCGAGGCTGTCCATGCGGGCACTGACCGAGGCTAACTGGCTGCAGCAGCTGCCCCTACCAGCCACGCTCAGGCCCTGCAGCCGGGTGCCCAGCTGTGAGAGCTCCCGGCGCAGGGCCAGCTCCCGGCCATCCAGGCTCTGGTGCAGCCTCAGGCTGGCCGCCTGACCTTCCTCGCACTGCTGCCGCACCTCCTGCACCCGCAGGTCGCATGTGCTCTGGACGCCTTGCAGCTTCTGCTCGAAGCCATCCAGCAGGCTCCCCCAGAGTTGATGCAGCCGTCGGTCTACATATTCGTCCAACAGGGCCAGGGAGGTGAGCGGAGATGGGGGCGCCTCCCGAAGCTGCTGCAGGCGGGCCTCGTGGCCGAGGGCCAGCCCATGCACCTCGTCCAGCAGCTGCACCTTGGTCCGCAGTGTGTTGCTCACCTCTGTCACCTTGCTCAAGATCTCATCCAGAGGAGGTGTGAGTGGCCTTCCAGCTCTGCCTCCAGGGTTCACAAACCCCTCGGGGATGCCTCCAAAGCCCACCTGGGGATCGGGAGCTCTGGGGCCACCGGTCATCCTGTTGGGGTCCTCGTGGCTGGCCACCAGGCCGCTGAGGGTACCATATGCTTGCGCCAGGCGCTGGACATCACCCTCCAGGCGTTCCAGCCGCTCACCAAACAACCCCAGGCCTTTCCTTCCTGGGAAAGAGAAGGAGAGAACCCCGGGGCGGGATCACTGGCCTGGCTCTCTCAGCTTGTCCTGGTACCAAGCCACCTGAGAGATTTTCTGTTCTAAGCCAACCTTGCTGGGCATACCTCTGTCACTTTGGGGAGGGGGCCTGGGGGCTCACCCTTTTGCCCAGCACAAGATGCACCCTCCCTAGCCCTGCCCAAGCTCAGCTAGCTTGGGTCAGTCCCCTTCCCACCTCCCCCAAGAAACCCAACCACCTTGGTAGGGTCTCCATGGGCAGACTCACCGTAAGGGCTGGGGGTGGCTCTGCTAGGAGGGGGCCTGGGGCCTGGGCTCAGCTGCCCGGAGGGAATCTGGGGCTCAGGCTCCGACTGGGGTGGGGCGGCCCCATGGTCTGTGAGGTGCTCAGGGCAGCCTTCTCCAGTGAGCCCAGGGCAGCAACGCCAGGAGAGTTCCGTCACCTTCTTGTAGCCGACCTTGTATTTGGGTCTGAGCACTGTGCGGTACCTGGGCCAGGGATGGGGAGAGGGCAGGGCTCTGTGTCTGTGGGCTGAGGCGCCTGCCTGTCAGGTGACCTTGCCCCTGGCTGGTATTCAGGGCCACTCTCAGACACTTGGATATAGTCTAGGTGTCTCCCTGCCTCCACCACACCCCCAGGGGTTTCCTTTCCTGTGCTGAAGGCAACAGGGCCGAGGGATGGAAGCAGGCCTTGCCAAGGCTCAGAGATGGGCTAGGGGAACACAGGAAAAGGGGAACAAGAATTTAGCCCCAAGGCTCCCAAGGTCACCTGGACACCCTTGAGCTCATACTGCCATCAGAAATTTCACTGTGGCTTTGGTGGAACCTTGAAGAATTCTGACAAAGGTGTACTGCCCTGGAGCTGGGCAAGCAGCTCCTCTCACTGCCCGGGGGCCACTCTGGGCTCCCATCAGCTCCCCCGTTCTCTCCACTCCTTCCTACCCTACTCTGGAGACTCAGCTCTGGTCATGGAGGCTGGTGACAAGGTACCTCTGATTTTGAGCACAGCGGTGAAGGGCCCAGGTGGAAGGCAGAGCAGGGGCCACTCCCTCAGCTGTTCACCAACTGAAGGCATGACTGGGGCATGTGCCCAAGGATCCCAAGTACACAGGCTTGTATTCAGACCTGCATTTGAACCTCTCCAAGTACAGACCTGAGCATCCCACCTATGGGGGATATACCACACATCCTCACGTGGCCCCATCTGGCCAGTCTGAGGCCCCTGGCTGGTATTCAGGGCCACTCTCAGACACTGGATACAGTCTAGATGTCTTCCTGCCTCCACAACACCCTGTCACCTTCCTTTCCTGTGCCAAAGGTGACAGGGCCGAGTGATGGGAGCAGGCCCTTCCCATACCCTCACCCCTGGCCTGCCTTCTCCACATCACCACAGCCCTCCTTGAGTCTGCCCGGGGCCCCTTTGGCATCAACCACTGCCAGTGTGACCCTATGCTCTCCCCTGTGCCCCCCACCCCCAACCCTTGCCCCTGCTTCTTCCTTGCCTGGTGCTGCCTCTCCCCTAGAAACCCTCCCCTGGTGCCCTGTGGGCTCTGACCAGATCAGCCTGCCCCTGATTCCTCCCTGGCCCCCTCCACCCAGCTGGTGTGGGCTCTAAGAGAGTTGCAGCCCTTGTAGAGCTGGCTGCTGCTCTCAGCTTAAGGCAGGCCTGGGGCATGGGCCCAGGGATCCTGAGTGGGTGGGATGGGGGTGCACTCACGTGACTGTCCCGGGGCACTTGGGCCCCCATCCACACTGCCGGTACTCAGCCTTTATGTAGCTCTCTGCTCCCTCCTGTAGGACACAGGTCACATTCCTGTGCACCACGTAGGCGCAGAGGGCCCTGCAGGGGAGAATGGCATCCTTGGAATATCTGGCCTGGGCTGGGCCACTGAAGCTCCTACACCCCCTCCTCCATCTGTAGGCCTCAGCAGATGTGACCCCCATCTTTTCTCCTTATTGCTGGGAGCCAGGGCCCTGGTCCTGGGGTCCCGCCCACTGCTGGTCTCGCTGGTTCCAGCCTCCCCATTGGGTTGGTCACTGGGTTCAGCTCTGTACTGAACCAGGAGTCTGGTGCAGCTGCCCTTCCCTGGTCTGACCTCTGCCCTCCCTGCCTGGAGAAGAGACCCACCCTGGATTCCCCACCGAGGGCTTTGCCACATTCCAACTCCTTCACTGGCTCTCACCTCCTCACCTTAGCACTGGAGGTGTCTGAGGTCTCAATATAGTTCACGAGGCCTTTGAAATCACCCTTCTCTCTTCCTCCCCTGACCGACTCCTGGGGCAATGCACCCACCTTGTACCTTTCTGCCCCCTGCCTCTGTTCCAGTTCCTCATCCTCAGATCACTTCTTCTACTGCCTCCTCCAGGAAGCCTGCTCTGATGTGCCCAGGCCCACTGAGTGTCTGCTATTGGCCGACACTCCAATACCTCTGAAATGCAGCTAGTGCTCAAATGCAGCTAGCACCCCAGGCAGAGCCCCTAACTCACCTGGAGACCAGCTGGCATGCCACTGCCTAGGAAAGACCAGAGGCTGAGACAGGGGAGGAGCAACAACCCCACTTACCGGCCACAAGGGCTGGGGTGGCGGCTGCCTGGCATAAACCAGCCACCTGTGGACTGCTGTGGAGCTCTGGAGCCCCAACATGAGCCCAGGACCCA